CTTGCGGACTACAGGCTATGGACTTTATTTTTGTTAGGAAACGGGCGTAAAATTTCTCCCTCCCTCCAAACTCATGTCATTGTTGTTAATTTGGCATCGAAGAAACCTAGGTCTTTGAGAATTCGTGTAACACTTTCTGATTCGTGTACAGTGTTAAATAAATTAAAAAGGCCTTACAATTTAAAATTAAAATCGATATTAATTAACTCCTTTGGGCCGCTTCATAGCTCAAGCGGTTAATCGCTGGCTTCCCACCGCGGCGGTCCGGGCTCGATCCCGGGTCTGGTCAAGTGGGATTTGTGGTGGACAAAGTGGCGCTGGGGCAGGTTTTCTCCGAATACTTCGGTTTCCCCTGCCAATCTTCATTCCACCAATTGCTCCACAATCACCCTCACCTATCATCTGGGGCTGGTACAATAGGCCAGAAATGGCCGCAGTACAAGGGACTTAGTCCCACCCCACTAGCAATAAAAAAAAATACTCCTTTTGCAAATGTATATATTTAGGATTTTTACGTATCCAGAAATAGTCTCACGTTTTGAAAAGTAGACGAACGGTACGTTGCATTGGCGATGGGGCTAGAGTCGCATCACCTCTGACAAACGCCATTACGAATTATCAGTCGCAATTGCCACTAGAGGGCTCACCTACAGACGGCAGAAACATCTGATTCAGTGGGGATTCTATACGGCCATATTACTGACATTTCTAATTACGTATTGTAGAGGTAGCATGACTTCTTGAGTAGCTGCACAAGTGCCCGCTTCTCAAGAAGGGCTCAGCTCCGTGAATGAGTGAGTGAATAACTTCCTGGAACACAGTTCTCAATAAGATGGCAGTCCTTCAGGTAGTCCGGAAATTACAAGCCTTTCCTGCAACCCGAAGATTCAACACCGTGTTCATATGACCCGCCATTGATCCCAATCCTGAGCCAGGTGAAATGTATTGCACAACCTCACGCCCCGTGTATTGAATATATACCGTTCTCTTACCATTCAATTTACAGCAAGATGTTCCAAATTGTGTCTTCCCCTCAATTTTCCTTTTATAATTTTGTATACCTCTCTTACATCCCTGAACACGCTGCTATATATCCCGCCCAGCTTATCCTCTGTCATCCCTTTAATAACCTTCAATGATATATGATAAAAGTAGAAATTATAAAGTTTTGAATCCCCTGTCAAATATCCTCCTCAGTACCTTCTTCTCAAACACCCTATATCAGTATATTCTTAAGGATTCTGACGATGATGTACAACACACAGAATTACTGGGGTTTCGGACTTCGTCCATCGTCCGGTATTATAGAAAATAGAAGACACGAGGTTTCGGAAACTGGATCTGTTTCCGTCCTCAGGTGAAAGGGGGAGAAGACACCTACTCAGTTGGGCCTCTTAGAAAGAGCCGATCTCAATTACTGGACCACCTTCACCTGAGGACGGAAACAGATCCAATTTCCTAAACGTCTTGTTTTCTATTTTCTAGAATACCGGACGATGGACGAAGTCCGAAACTCCAGTAATTCTGTATCTCAGTGATGACTTGTATTTTAAAATTCATAAAACGAATGATGCGGTAGAGCGAGTAGAAATTCTGCTCCGTATTCGGGGGTACCGAATTCAAGTTTCGGCCTAAAGGCAGACTATCCTGAAGGTTTTCTTAATCTTCTTTCCTTCAAATTACGCCACGACCCGTTTCTTCCCCACATTTCCAAATCATTACGTGCTGATCGCCCTACCGCCCGACGGCATAAGTTGAGCTACTGAACGTGTTATTAAAACAACAAACTAGTAAAGTATTAAATAAATAAATTCATATTCTTTCTTCTTCGAAACTGTGCATGTGGGGGGACGAGCAGTAGCCTTCGTCTTAATATTGTGATCCACGTAATCAGAGAAAATGGGTTCGCTTGCTCTATTACTCGCCTGAGAAATTCTTTGTCTGAACCGGCGAGCAGAAGCCAGGATTTATGGTCAATAAACCGTTTGTTTATACAGCATTCGGGAATGTATAAATAAGAGTCGCCGCTACGTGTAGTGACATAACAAAATTGTAAACTTTGGAGTTACATTTTATATATTGTGTGGATATTTGCGCAATACACACCTGCAATCCTGTTGTCGAATGTTACGGGTTTATATAATTACGTTAAGCAGTCTCTAGATTTAAGTCTAAGTTTATTTTAGTGGCCAATGTTGAGTAACGAGAACAATAAATTATATGTAATATTAACAGCTTGCCTTAAAAGCATCGATTATTATATAAACTTGTTGAATGAATGAGGTACAGTTACTGTTGTATGAAACTGTATTCTAAAGTGTGTAATAGAAAACAATTCAACACCTTTAGGCCGATTACCTACTGTTCATGTTACTTGTTAGCTACCGTTGGTGATTATTATGGCTATTATTATTATTATTATTGATATTGTAAATATATTATTATTAATGATAATATATGTTGAATATATATAAATGCGCGATGTAATATAATAAATATAATTTAAACGTGTATCGTGATATAATTTATTCTGTAGTTATAAATTGATTGAAATAACTGCTCACACTTTCAGATATTTTTTATTATTATAAGGAATTTTCCAGTTGATACACTGAAGACACTTAGCTCTTTCTTAGTAGTTTCTGTCGCTCTAATATATTTTATTACTTTTAATACACTAACCGAAGAACGACCTTATTTATTTAGACGATATATTTCTATCCGTTCCTTCCTCAAGTTTTCAACAATGTTCTTGAACAAAATCGTAAGATTAAAAAACGTTGTAACATGTACATACATTCTCTTTTGTAACCGCACAATGCAAAGACTGCCATGTTTTGTTCACGTGTGTCGGTACTTGTCGCTACATCAAAGCAGAGGCAATACCTCACACCCACTCCAACCAACGGGAACTGAACCCTTCGCAGTTCCGGGATGGTAAAGTTTATGACGGGTCACAATCCCCAGACTAAACCCAAACCAGCCCGACCCTCTCTCTACTTTTAGAAATAGCCATAAATACTAATAAGAGGGATCTGTCCAAAAGACATTGAAAAGGACTTTTGGTCACTAGAGAGAGGTGGCCCTCTAACGGTCATAAATGTTAAATGTTAAANCTCTGCCTCCCCCTCTACCACTAGTTGAACTAGTTGAGCCAGTCAACGCTGAAGCGTCCTACATGCAGCCCTCGAGCGATGCATCACCTGTTCGTCTCACGCAGAGAATAAATTGGGGCACAGTGACCTTATCGTCACGTCAGAAGTAATTCCTTTCGGAGTGTTTCTTCAGTGATCCAAAGAATTGGAATCTGCCATGCGCAACATCTGGGCTGAATCGTGTATGAGCAAGAGGTTCCCAGCGAACATTTCGATATGGCCCCATCCGGCTTCTCAGTAATAATAAACGTACCTTGCTCTACAATACTCGAAATGTTTGGTTTCAAGAAATAAGTCAGCATTTGCTCTGTTTGACCATACTAATCAACCAACATGAACTACTGCTAGCCCCATTTTGTAAATTTGAATCCACTCTTATACTGGCATTGAAGTCTCCAAACTTCTATCATTATTATTCAGAACTTGATTGGTGCTGCTATGTTGTTTGGCACTTGAGTTGCTGTACCAGCAGCCAGACTTCCTAGCAACTTGTCCAGTAGTTTAACTTCTCTGCATGTTCCTGTAGACAGTAGGCCATAAAGTAACGGTGCAGCCTTCATGAGCCAAGTCATGTTCGCTTATGCTGTGGAGGAAGGAATTACATGTTACACACAAACTAACTATTCATTACATCACATAGTTAATTAACTAACTGCTGACTGGGCAACGGAATAAAAGTCTTATTAACTATCTAATTAACCAAGTACGTTCACAGCCAACGAACAACTACACCGGACGTTGCGGTGTGTTTATTTGGGAGGCGAATCATTTGAATCTCGATTTGGGCACCGACTATGCTGGTAGTCTTCTTGTGATTCAAGAATGTTTATGACATATCTCATTGTTTTCAGCGTTTACACTCTTCGAATATCTAGGTGACCCATATGGTTATTGACTCGTAGTTCTCAGACCAACCAGGCAATAGCGACACCGAGAAGATGGGTGAAGCGGCTATATTTTTCAATATTACTGAAGAGACCAATCTGATATTTTAGTTCAGGTTACTGGATATCCGGACTAAGGGTTTTCGCTGCTTTTTCCGTTTTCTTGCTTAATTTTCGCATAGAATCTTGAAAGAGGCCAACATCACTTTCCATGTCCTTGCCTACTCACCGTTTATGTTCTGGACCGAATTTTTTCTTTCATTATACCCTTCGTGATGCTGATGGCCGGCCCCTTGACAGGCCTGGACCCTGCGTGGGAAGCCCCAGTCACCCTATCATAGAGACGGCTCTGGGACGGGCCGTAGATTGTACAATGACAGGGCATGGAATAAAATGGCAATTTAGCGTTGAATGGTGCAGCAGAATAATCGCATTCGGTGAAATTCAATCAGGCATTTCTTAGTTCTAAGTACTGCAGAAAACCACGAAAAGCCTCAGTAAAAATATCAATGTTCTCATCAGGATTGGAACCGGTCACGCCTGAGTAGAAATTAGAGTAGTTACTCTTTGAAACAACTTCCTCACAAATAGCTTTATTAAATTAAAAGATTACGTAAAGTCGCAACCCTTCCTCTTGTGCACCTCCTGTAGGAACGGATGCCTTGCTCCTTACATTCTTAACCTTGGCAATAGATGCAGATATTATTAAGTAACTCAATAACCCCAGAATAAACATTATCCAATGTCCCATTTGTCCGATAATCATGGAAGGGTATGTAAATGATGCAGTTGATGAAACATCGTTATGTAGCCAGCCAACCGAGCGAGAGAGGAACGAGCCTGGTAGCTATTTAGTTGTCACGTAAGAACCGAATATGTTGCACATACCGGTTCTCGTAGTGGTGTAAACTGATGACTGCCTCGGTTCTAGTGTCACAAGTCTGTGTGCAGTGACTACAACATGGCACCTCTGCTGCTGTACGCTGCGGTAAGTGAGAATAAACAGAACCGGAGCCAGAGAAATTTGAAGCACAAGTGTAATAAGGAGGTTGCTGGTGTGCCCTAGCATACAGGAGTATTACTGAAGTTCCATTTATTCTGAGTATTCTATTACTGATGGATGTGGTTTTCTGTGGCTCTGCCCCACAGAAATTGGTGGTGAAGAGAAGATATTTATGTATTTATTGTATTAGTTGGTTGAGGCACTATGCTACAAGCCGGAAGGTCGCGGGATCGAATCCCGATGAGGTGGATTTTTTCAATTTACCTAATCATTCCAGCCGCACTATGGACCTGGGTTTGGCTCAGCCTCTTAACAGAAATGAGTACCAATAAACTTCTTGGGGGTAAAGGGAGGCTGACGCATAAGGCTGACAACTTTACCGCCATCTACGAGCCAATTGTCTAGAAAATGTATGAACCTCAACATCTCACAACCCTATGGGCCTCCACGGCCTGTTACAGGAATGCGTTTACTTTTTACTTTTTACTTTACTTTTACGTATGATATGAATGTGTAAATACCACTGGCCGCCTATGAGTAAGTACTGATGTAGTAACACATAATTTCTCCCTTTTAATATTAATTAAATACTAGGAATTCTGTTGTACTGATGTAAACTGACTCAGTGGAGGTTCTCATTAACTGATTCTTCAGTAATTTAACGATGCAATTCACTATGTTATGTAGGTATTTGCCATAGAATAATATGATAATTTTTTTAATGCTGAATTGAAAGGGATCCGAAACAAAGAGGTCGAGGCTCATTTTGAGGCTCCTTCCCCCATTTAATGAGGAAAATTATGATACATCTCACTAGGATAGAACACACAGATGAGATTGAAAATCGATGCCTCCCAAATGCAAATCAGGAGTGTCAAATTGATAGTGACTTTTGGTATGGCGATTTTACAGTGACGGCTGTGAATATTTGAGTTGAAATGATCTACGATATAAATTATTGAATTTTTCAGAAAATGTTGTAAGTTACATATTTTTATACGATTACGAAACATAGCCTTTCTTTTGCAGGGAAAGTCTCATGTTACAAGCAGGACTAATTTAACTGAAAACTAATCGAAGGGAAATATAATACAAGAATCTAGGCTATACGCTATGATCCTCATCTCCCCTTCCCCGTAATTTGATTATCCCATTTTTTTAAGAGCACACATTAAGACGCTCCACATTATGCAATTTTCCAGCTTCCTGATATTTCCTTTCCTTTAGACAGGGTGATTCTTAATTATTGTCGAGTTTTCCTTTGCCCATAATTTTCAAGCCTGAAACAACAGAATAAAACTGCTTAAGGAATATGAAAGTGTAGCTCAATGAATCAAGACAATAATTTGACGAGTACGACATTGTCAAATAAAACTTCTTGAGATACACTCTCATATTCAGTAAACAGTTTTATTTAGTTGCTTCAGGTTTGAAAATTATAGATCAAGGAAACCCCGACAATAATTTAGAATCACTCTGTATATGAACATTTGGCCCCGATTAATTTAGTGGACAAATATTTATTACAAAACACGACAGCTGTCTAATAACAGGAAGCAGACCGGTTTCAGAATGTCGGATCCATTGTGAGCAAAATCGTGTCTACAGTGCCAATTGTGAGATCGAGATCGGCCATTTTTCCAGAGTTCTCGTTGTTCCGAACAGAGAATCGTCTGCACCCTTCCTCGCCCCCCAATCGCCCCACATGCGCTTATTCCTGTAACGGCATTTCCTTCCAAGTAATTGGTATAATGAAATATTAATAATATTAATTACTTATTTGATTAGTAGGTCGATTCCTGAATTACGTGTTTTTAAAGACGCATTGGAAACTTTGCGTTACATACCGATAAACTACTGGGCGATTAGTGAATAGTGAATCTGAAAGTATATGGAAGAAAGCGATTGTGTTAAATGCAACCATAAAAACTGACTGTGCGGATAGAGAGCCATGGATTCTGGTCTCTGGGCTGAGACTTGAAACCTGAACCTTCAGAATACGAAGTATAAGTGATAATCACTGAACGAGCTCGTCAAGTATTTTCTGGCTTCTGGGGGTTAAAGTAAGTGGAGAGTGTAGCTTGTCACTATCTCTGTCTAATGCCGAGGTCTAGAAGAACTGTTGCTTACACCAAATCTCAATATAAGATAGCATATAGACCCGTTGTTTAGCAACGACCGCGAGATAAGCAAATGTAAAAGTGCCGTTGCTGAGTAACGCCTTCGCAAACAAACATATTCCAACGGAAATGAATGAAGTATAACAATGAGGAGAGATGTTTTCTACGCGGCCCGTGCCGAGATCTTATAACCATGACGGTTAGTTGAGAGTCGACAGGAAATAAATGAGGTTTAAATTGGCGGTGGTGAAGCTTACGCAAGTTCAAGTGCCGTTGTAGCATAAGATGCGTAAGATAGGCATGATGTGCTTTGCAAAGCCCGTTCTGACAGAAGACTTGTGTGTATTGCAAAACAACACATTTTCATTAACGTGCTATATATGCGATACGTACACACGACAAGAGTTCAAGCATATTCATAACAGACAAACCCATCTTCTCATCAGAGAGGATGTTATATAAGGAGTATGACCGCAAGGGTTCACTTGGAAAAAATAATATCTCTGGTCGTGAACCTCAAGGGACTTGGCGCCAAAATGAACTGATCGGCGGTAAACCGCCAAGTCCTATTCTATAATCACTCATACACGTAACAATATGCTTTCACTTGGTGTCGTTTCTATATGTAAAGCAAGAAATTATGTTGGAAAAAATACAAGTATTATGTGGGTCCCGTGTCACCACAGCAAAGATGGTTCTCACGTTAATGATGGAAAATACGAAGAACAGCTGCGACTAGGATGGTTAAGCAACAGATGATCCCGACAATAGGTCATGCTCCAGATCGAAACTTGGGCATGCTATGAAATGTTTCACAGTGCTTTACACTGGACTAATTCTTGGGCAGGACATTTTCTGAGTAGCTGAGCCGACACTGCTCCATGGAATTGGTTATGAAGATAGATTCCAATGGGGACATAACAAGATGGATAATTTACGTCATATGTCAAATTTATTGCATAAACCTTTATTTTAATCTAGAAAATTTAATCTGAAGTTCATATACAATTCACACTGAATTGGAATAAGAATTTTCAGTGTAGTCTCGTCCATATCCAGCTTCATCCAATATTTTCAGTAGTTTCAGAGATTAAATATGCAGGCAGATGGACAACAAGACACTTCACTACAAACTCATCTGTGGCTGAACTCAACACTAATGTCTAGTGTCAGGATCTATATTGTGTTATGTACTTGCAAATTAAATTTCTATCAGCTTTAAGTAAGCGGCTGCCAATGGAAACCAACTCAACAATCTGGAATACATGTATAGTCAGCCATCTTGACGCAGGCGCTGGTGCTGACGCGGTTTGCAGTGGCCGAGGCCGATTTTCGTCTGTCACGAGCTGTTCGGCCCACACACTACAGGCTGAACCTAGAACCCCATTTTGAAGATGATAATTTCACTGTATATGGAGAGGCAAGTACTTCCTTTATTGCAGGATATACTGTAACCAGATGCGAGTTTGCAAGAAGTAAAGTTGGCCTAAATAGCGGGCTATATTCTAACCAACCGCCAGTTAGCCAAAAATTACAACTAATACCCCCAAATTGTTTTTTCTTCGGCCAATTTCTTACCCCAATTAACTTCGAGGACATATTTGAAAATCAACCACCTGGACGTTCCGTCTCAGAATTTACAATCAACTCTTGAGCGCGCATTATTAAATTACGCTTAGATTTAAAAGAATTGGTGTACTATAGCCCAGGCGGTTAGGCCCTAGGTTCTCACGGCGAAAGAGACAGTCAAGACGACAATAATTCTGAAAGAGAAGAAATAGACACGGCTGTGTCAACATTTTATTTATTAGCTGTTGCGGGTAAATTCTACATGTTTGGACCCTCTTCTTGGGCCATTTTCAGGCCTACAAGAACACTGGTTCTAGTTCCTAAATTCCGTCATTGATCAATATGAACTAATATTGTGGTTATATAAATTATTATACTAACAAATACACTTTAATTTAAATGTCGTTCAAATATAGTTCAAAGCTTAACATTGGAACTTAATATTAAAAGGATTAAAATTAAAATTAAAATTAAAATTAAAATTGGAACTAAAATGGCGATTAATATGTTTATAGCTTATATTATAAGACTTATTTAAGGCTTTGTGACCGCTACATATCCGCATATGTTGTTTGGTTGTTCTACTGTCATAATGATAGTTGTGATGTGGGGTAACATTCCTCAGAATCTGGGTCGTGTTGTTTTTGATCATCCTATTATCATGTGAAGGCTATACTCGTTATTCTGGGTATCACTCACAGCTTGTTTTTACTTGGACTTGGATATTCAAAATTTATGTTGTGTGGTGGTGTTATTGTTGTGCTGTAGCGATCTATCTGCGAAACTCTGGGTTTAACACCGGACGATTTGACGTAAGGTTTATTGTACTGGGGCAGAACTTGCAATTTCTTCAGTTTCCCTATAGTAATCAGTATTCTACCGCTACTTCATGATCACTGCCCCTCGAGAAGCGCGACATCTCTGAGCAGGCGGCAAATGATCGCACCTTTGGCTGGTTGCAGCTCGAGGAAATCGGTTTAGAGTGTAAATGTGTGGACTTGCACCAAGTGGTTCAGGAAGAGGTCCACTGGCGGGCTGCTCACAACATGGTAATGATTTTTTAGCTTCCATTAAATGCGAGAAATTTAACCATCTGAGCGACTATTAGCGTCATACCATATACCATAAAGTTCATTATTTATTTATCTGATACAGCGTTAATTCTCTTTTTCAACATGGGTTGCATTTGTGGCCAGCAGGAATGGATAGACGTGAGGGTGTTACAAGAGTCCTCACAGCTCATATTGCACAGCAGTGAGCTACAAATCCTCACGGTGTCAGTGAAACCGCTGATGGAAAACGAAACGCTTGAAGCTCTGCCATTTCCGGAAGGCCAGATACGCAATTACAATTACCATGACAACTGGAACAAGACTCTGTTGTTGGACCCTGAAAGTGGAACTGTGAGAGTGTTCGCCCAATTAAGGGCTGGAGTACGCTATCGCCTGCATTTTCTGTACAAGGGACACCTTTCGAACACACTCACTGGGTTCTACAAGTCCTCTTACAAAGACAGTCACAACAAGACCAGGTAGGTTAGGACGTACAGGTACATCAACGCAATTGTCCAGCATTCTCAGACTTAAACGACAATAAACTTAAAAGTATATATGATTTTCATTCACTTTTTTCGAATTATGACCTCTTATTACGAGGGGCAAAAAATTTTGTCCGCAACAGCAACATACATCTTTAATTCTCTTAAATTACTCGTAGTATTTATAACAACTTCGTTTCTACACTTTGCAAATCGCTGTTTCTTACTCTCAAAATATTATACTCTTCAAGTGTTCATAAACTCTGGGAAGTGGGAAAGAATAAACTGGACGAATAATGTTTTAAAAGCCGGGACAGCTGAGTCGGTATAGTGACTGGCTACGGGCTGGATTCGAGTCCCGGTAGGGGCAAAACTTTCGCTTCTCCGTGTCGTCCAGACCGGCTCTGGGGCCCACCCAACCTCCTACTTTTCCACGGGGGTAATGCGGTCGGGAGTGAAGCGACCACTTAGCTCCATGTAGTGCCGAGGTGGACCTATACATCCACTCCCCCATACGCCTTCATGGCGTAGTGCTTAAGTAGTTAAGCACAGGGAGAACTTTACCGTCTTTACCTTACGGAATAATACTTTTCCCCTGAGACTTCTCTGTGTGAAAGAGGTAAAATAATGGAAACTGCTCCATATTCACTAGTCACCCTCTCACGGATGCTACATAATCTCGACAATGACGTCATTAAAAAGCTAAGTTAAAAAGACAATACAGTGTGCTATAGAAACATAGATTTTATTTTCGATTGAATGACACTTCATGTCAGAGGCAAGTAAAACCTGATGAAACTTTAGTAAACAGCAGTCATGTCTACAAATTGTGCAATCGCTTCCTTTATATGTTCAGAGGTGAATTTGGTGACGGGACAAACATTGAGGATACGTCTGCAGACTTTCAGATTTTAAACAAGCATATTTATAAAAATTAACAAAGCCATAGTGTTCACCGAGTTATTTCAGTTTTAATTCTACTGGCTGCATTATTCAGGTGATGGGCCTTAAAGCACATTCTTTTCGTATGTTGACGTGTTCACCAAAGTGACCAGACGGACAAATTTTCTTGCTCACGTCACGTGACATATGACGCCTGTTGTAGGTGGCTGGCCTCCACGACGTTCGAGCCGAACGAGGCTCGCCGAGCCTTCCCTTGTTTCGATGAGCCTGGGTTCAAGGCTCGCTTCCAGGTGAACCTGGCGAGTCGTGACGACGCAGTGGCGCTGTCCAACATGCCTCGACGCTCACTGCACAACAAGTATGCCTGTCAGGGTACCTAATTCTTTCAGTGCCGTCTGTTTCGATCTTTAGAAATTCTGCCTTCTGCCCACAGAATGTACTCTTCTTTCTCGTATGGTTCTTTTAAAAAATCCATAATTGCTCTGAACAGAATTAACGAGCTGTTTTTGTATTGAAGATGTGTGTTTTCTGTGAGGTAGGAACCGGATTTCTAAATATTTCTGAACCCCGTATGGAGGCGGGTTCGAGTACCTCCATCGTAGCCCTGCGATCCGTAGGAGGCGACAGAAAGGGCACCCAGTGCCTATAGGTGTAACTAGGCAACACTGTTCCTAGGGGATATAAATAGGAGGAACAGCCCCTACAGTTTGGGGGAGTCTCGAATCTGAGACAGTAAATGTGGTCATGAATCCCATGGAAATTAACCTGAGAATGAATGCGCTGGCGAGGGCCAGCAGCAATTGTAAACGACAGACCCATCTATTCAACAGGGAAGATGTTACATAAGGACTATAACTGCAAGTGTTCAGTTGATAAAATGTTGGTTCTGAGTCTCAAGGGCCTTGGCGCCAAGACGAACTGAGTGGCGGTAAACCGCCAGTGGTAAGGTAACTCTGACTCTGACTCTGATGTGACATTTTTCTCTGGTTAGATTCTAATATTGGTTGGTTATATTTGATTTATTTCGTGATTGTTTATGTTTAAGTTATATGATCTACTACTATCTACTTACTACAGAAGTGCTATCGTACAGAGAGCAACAATGAACAGAACATAAAACAAAATATTTATTATCTTCTAAAAATATGTTAAAGAAAACTAGATCGTGGAAAAACAGAATAAAACAATATACAACATTGCCACAACCGATTCTGAACAGTGCAGCTGCTCCATAAAGAAATCAAATGGGAGTAGAAATAAAACACGCCTGCCCACGATCAAACATTAAGAACAACTGAAGATAATTAACAATCTATAACGCTACAATTACGCTAATGAACACCAACTTAAGCAGTATATATATATATATATAACGATATTAAGACATGATAAGTACCATAAATATAACAAACAATTTTAATTCATTGTTTAACTCTTTTAATACACCATAACAACGCAATAGATTTTATGAATCTTACGAAGTAACTGCCTTCTAAAAGAAGTTATTGAAGGAAAGATAGAGGGGCGGACAGAAGTGACCAGAAGACGTAAGAAGATGCTGGATGACCTTGGGAACAGAAGAGGATATTTTCATTTGAAGGAGAAAGCTCTAGATCGCATTAAGTGGAAGAACTGTTTTGGAAGAGACTGTGGACCTGTCGTCTGACAGATTACTGATGAATGCATGGATTTATGAATCCCCACGGCCATTAATTTGTCTTGTAGACCGGAACCTCTATTTCCTTGAAATAGCTCCTCAGTTATCCTCATGAGGCTGAGTGAACCCCGTTCCAGACCCACTACTTCTCAGAAATCCAGGACTTCCCTTTTTCTCGCCTCCTACGAGGTATTCGACCACGCTTCCACAAGGGATATAAGCTCTGAACTCACGGTGGTCGTGATAGCAGACACCGCCTCGAAGGGGTCTGCTCTACTCTCTGAGATCAGAAACCACTGTAATTACCGTGGATACCAAATCTGCTGCCGTGTATTTGTTTACAGCCTAACCTCGGAACATGTGTAGCCAAGCGTTACCTAGCAATGGCTGACTTCACTGCGGGAACAGTGTTTACCCAGTCGTTGGCTGACAATGAACGTTTGCTTCGACTTCTATACTCCCGGTTTTTATGCGGCACGTCACAATATTATCATCATATCCACGGTATCAAAAAAAGGATTGCTTCCCTTCGGATTTTCGGCCCAAAATATTGCATGCTGTTGAATCCCGCCTATGCGTCCTGAACACGCCGTCCATCTCATCCTAATTAATATGATAATCCTAATAGGATCCCTTAAACAGTAATCATGAAGCTTCTCATTACGTATTTTTCTCGAGATTTCTGTTTACTTCCTCTTGCTTAGGTTCAGACTTTCTCGTCAGCACTTTGATCAATTTCCGTGTTTTGCTCTTGTTGGGTCACATCCATCGGAAACTAGGCTCCTCTCACTGACTAACGGAGGCTTTGTGACAGCCCACCACAACCATGCACGTGCATGCATTCAGACGTGTACAAGCATTGCAGTGTCTCTCTGCTCCGCAGGACGGGAGCGCGTGGCTGGGTGTGGAATCGTTTCGAGGAGACGCCACCCATGTCCCCATACCTGGTGGCCTTCTTCGTGGGATGGCTGGAATCCCGCGAGACTCGGACGGCGAATGGAACTCCGTTCCGTGTGTGGGCGCGTCCCGAGGTGATGGCGCAGACACAGTATGCACTGGACATCGGACCACGTATCCTCGACTTCTTCAGCAGCCTCCTAGGGGTGCCAGACCCACTCCCCAAGCAAGACGTTTTGGCACTGCCCCATTTCGTTGCTGATGCCCTCGAAAACTGGGGACTCGTCTCCTTCGGGTCAGTTTCCCTTCAGCAGTTAGCTTTTCTGCTCCACAGACAGTTCTAGCTGTTTCGAAATAAAATCTGAACTGCATGATTGGGTGGTTAGCACTCCGGCTTCGCATTCGGGAGGTTCAGTGTTTGAATTTCGTCCCTGGAACCGTATATAGAGACTGAGGGTTTTCAATAATTTCCTCAGTAGCGCGTAGCAAATGTTGATGTAGTACCTCAACATATACAGCGACCGCTTCATGGCACATCTCTCCCAATGTTTCCTCATGAGCCACTTTGTCATTCAACCCCACGTAGTGCAAGAAAAACTTGACTCAGTTGGGACTGTTCTCGTGTTTTAGAACATCACTGAACTAGTTTCTTGTGCCCGCAGAGAGAAGTACCTACTACATGATGTGGGCGTGTCGCCTGCTTCCAGAAAGCAACAGGTGGCCAGCATTGTGTCTCACGAGTTGGCCCACTCCTGGTTCGGCAACATGGTCTCCGTGAGCTGGTGGGAGGACATCTGGCTGAACGAGGGGTTCGCAACCTACTTCTCTGCTATGGGGACCAACCATGTGAGTTCTTTATTTGTTTCTTTTCCCTTCTCTTCTCTTCATCATTTCTCTCTTTTGTTTTAATTTACTTCTCTCCCCCTCCCTTCTTGCTTTTTGCTCTATCCTGCTATCTTCCTTTCTTTCTGTCATTCTGTCTTTTCTTCTACATATTCTTTTCCCTTTTTCCTTGTCTTCTTTCTTTTGTCCTTCCCATCATCCTTCATTGCTTTCTTCCTTCCTTTGTTCCTTCATCAGCCCTTACATAGCTCTGAACAAAAGAGAGTAACGAGGTTCCTTAGGAAGAAAATTATATATAAGGCATTTTAAATTATTTAATTTCCTACAAGTGTAACGACTTTAAAAACTGTGGCTCCACAACAGAATGCACGGAAGTTTACGGGTTTCCTCCTCTAAGGCTGGGGCCACATGAGCGCACAAATAATGTAGAATGTGCTTATTTTTTATTGATATTAATTTATATAATTGTATTTGTTGTGTTTGTAATTATATTTGCATTGTATTCATTGTTCAAAGAGTGTTTTTATTGTGTAGTTTTTGTGCTGTGTTTTGTTTAAGCGTGGTGTGGTATTTTGTGTGATGTGTGTCGTGCTTGTTGTAGTACCACTGCCACTGGGTAAAAATCCATTTGTAGTTAAAATAAATGATAATAATAATATAATAATATTCCTTATCACTTCCTAATAATTTCATTCTTGATATGGTCTAGTCTAGTGCAACTTCTAACTGTTCTTATATAGCCCATTTCTGTCGACTGCGGTCCTAAATTCTCGAACAGCACTTCGCAGCTGTGGATTCGCACCGAGAGATTAGACGCAGTGACGCCAACTGAAAATATTAAAATGTAAATAGTTTTTATTCGGGATGTTTAACGTTAACAACCATAAACATGGTTGTCTGATTACTCAAATGTCTTCAGAACTGCTCAGAATATTAGATAATTACATCCGTTAGACTTGAACATTTTGAACCTGGGTTTTACCCACTTCGCCCACCATCTTCGCTGCGCCTGGCTACACAACAATGACACACTAAGAAACCAGTCCAGAATACCTGAACTGACCTACAAGAATGTACAGATCCAGTTATCTTTTACAGCTCAAGTATTTATACTGAATTAAATCATTTCTTACCACTTTAGCCTTAACATAATTTGGTTCTATAAGTCTTACCTTTGGTACTTGCCAGGGGATGGAAGAATTACGGAACAAACAAAACTTGTTTCTGGTATTACCCTGAACCGTCCTGTAATTATAATTTTAATTCTCTCGTATCACAGCCCAAGGGAAGGATTAACATCGAATTTTGTGGTCTTGTGGATAGAATCTTGACTTCACGTTTGTGGTGTTCCAAGTTCAAATCTCCGCCCACAGAACGAATATTCTAACTAAAGCTGTTCGTGGTTTTCTTCAGCCCCTTCAGGTGGATAGCGGGACAGCACTCAAATTTGGAAACAACTGTTTCCTTCCACATCCTTCCCAATGCATTGTTCATTAATCATCCTATTACTCAAAGCTATATAGTCTGAGCTATTGAAAACGTCGTTAAGTAAATCAAGAATACGACACGGCTAATCACATCCTCACAACATTGGCAGGTGGACCCCAAGTGGGACACATTCTCCGTGACGTCAGTTACCGCCTTCCTGAAGGTGTTCTCGGTGGATTCATTGCAGTCTTCGCATGCTCTCACCATCCCCATCGGCCATCAGAGCGAGCTGCGACAGATATTCGACACACTCACTTATTACAAAGGTATAGAAGATTATTGTTACATGAATTGTAGGGGCGAGAGGCAGTCCCTGTCAAGGAGTAGACAGAGATTATCTCTGGCCACATTTCTTGCACTATCCATCTAAAGAATGGTGCTCTTTGACCGTTAAAATATGAACGCAGGTTAATAATTCTAGAAGAACAATTTGTACGGATGCTGGCTACTTTGCCGGTGGACTCAGGGAAATAATCCCAGCTTATTGGTTAGGGAATTAGTGTAACCTGCCCTCGTGGCAGCCGCCGCAGCTGGGAGTGAAACGTTGCTATGTTTGATTTCACGTGTTTCGGGAGTGTGATAATGTACTATGTGGTCTTAGAACCATGAGGCCTGTAGTCTCCGCGGCACTGTGCTACAACACAAGCACAGTGTACACAACAGACTGCCTTTCAGAACTACCTGCATTTTAGTCTTACCGCATTCGCACTTATTCTCAATATGGCCGTTTCTACGCACCAAAATTGTTTCTGTTCTCCTTATTCCTTTTATTTTAATATGCTGTCAGCATCGAGACTGTACAGCATGGTGTAACTGGGCAGGACTTTGTTCAGTTGTCTCATTACAGGCTGGATGGCAAGGATTTGATCTCCGGCAAGCACAGACTGGTTCTGAAAACCATCCAGCATCCAACGTAATTGGTACTGGATGCTTCTTCCCGGAGTTGAAGCAGCAGGAGGGTAAAACTGATCACTCTTATCCATCCAGTGGCAGGTTCAAGAACGCGTGGAGCTCCATCTCCTCCTGTGTATACGCCTTTATGGCGTGGTGCTTAAGAAAGCGCAAGGACAACTTCCTTTGAATAAAGTGTTGTAAAACAGAAAGGGAATACATGAGTTCGCAGGGATTGTGCCTTAAATTTAATGATCGTCTGGTCGTGTACTATGTTCATAATGCTCGAAGAAGTACAGAAATAATGTTTGGATGTGTTCAGGTTATTACCTGCTGCGCATGCTCAATCACACTTTGGGGCAGGAAACGTTCTTGAGTGGCTGCAGACAATACATCAGACAGCATAAGTTCGGTGTTGTGAACCAACGAGACCTCTGGAAGGCATTGACATTGCAGGCCCATAAAAACGGATCCCTTGCTCCCGGGCTCGAGTTGTACCGCCTCATGAATACCTGGACATTACGACCGGGGTTCCCCGTCGTCACGGTGGGCAGGAACTACACAACAAGAAGTGCCACCGTCACGCAGGTGTGTTTCGGGTTACATCTGTCCTTCCGTCCTCAAAAGTTAGGGGAGGGGGGGAACGCAATCTATAAAATTTAAAAAAAATGGAATATCTGAAAGAGAACTTGCAATGAACAGTAAGAACAAGAACATTAGAGACCAGTATAGAGGAACAGATGAATTTGAGAAGAGTTACCGACCTAGAAGTAATTTAGTGAAGGATGAGAATGGTGATCTGCTTGCAGATTCCAACAACATTTTGAATAGGTGGAAGAACTACTTCTCTCAGTTATTTAATATATATAGGGGTAGTGATGTTAGGCAGATAGAAATACATACAGCTGAGCTGTTAGTACCTGTTCCTACAATTTTTTAGGTTGAAATTGCCAATGCAAAGTTTAAAAGTTGTAAATCTCCAGGTAGTGATCACGTTCTGGCAGAACTTATTCAAGCAGGAGGCGAAATATTACGTTCTAAGACCCATAAGCTAATTACTTCTATTTGGCATAAGGAAAAACTTGCTGATCAGTGGAAGGAGTTTACTGTTTTACCAGTTAACAAGAAGTGTTATAAAACTGACTGTAGTAATTATCGGGGATATCACTGCTATCAACTTCATACAGAATTTTATCCAATATCCTTCTCTCAAGGTTAAGTCCATATATAGACGAAATTATGGGGGATCGTCTGTGTGGGTTGCGACACAACAGATCTTATTACATTATTTATTATACTGCAATTGGGTTTTAGCCCGGTGGCAGTAGTACACAATAGGACACAACAGACAAGTAACACACATTACACTAAGTGACAACACGTTCAAACAAAACACAATACACAAAACACAACAATAAGGACATCCTACCACAGTGAATACAAACCAAATACGGTTAACAACTACAACAATTACAGAGAAATGCAAACAACTGCAACAAATACAACAACAAGGACATCCTACCACAATGAATACAAACCAAATACGGTTAACAACTACAACAATTACAGAGAAATGCAAACAACTGCAACAAATACAACAACAATTACATAGAGGTCTATTTAATGAGCTAACAGTAGCATGTAAATATTACAATTAAGACAAATATAAATATATTAATCAGTTAAACCGTCAGTTCTGAACAGCAATTGTTTTGCGCAGGCGAGGTTTGAGCGTCCGATGGAGGATGTGGAGGCACGCGTGGGACAAGCCGAATTCTGGTGGGTCCCCATCACCTACACCTCTGAACCAGAACTTGATTTTGATTCAACACGGCCTCGTCTCTGGTTGGATCCGGCAATGAACGAGACAAACCTCACCGACATGCCGGGCCCTGACCACTGGGTGCTCTTCAATGTGCAGGCTGCAGGTTAGAGAATGATAACACTTCTTTCGGATTCTAGAGCCATTAAACAGCTGAATATCTAACGGCTGTTCAAGACAGTAGCAGGAATGAAGGTTCCAAGTGACAAGAAATTTATTGAACGAAAATCTATGGATCATTCAAGATCTTCAGAGTCCACAGCAGTAGCAGTATTAAATCGCTAAAGGAAGATTTTATGCTCAAGAACTTCCTGATCGAGAGAGACCGATATCAAAGATACAGATCAATAACAAGGGGCTTCGCACATACACAAAAAGTTTATTAATCACGTGAATAAGTTTCTACAGGACATGGCTTCCTTCGGGATCCTTATTAACAGGAAAATATTAAACAGCTGACGACCGATCGACTGATCTCCAATTAGGGACTAACTCTGATTACTCCTGTTACCAATTTAATCCCAAGAAATACGAGATGATGCTGAGGAAAACTATGGAACTAACCAGACTGGACAAGGAATCCGATGCCTCAAATCAAAGTTATTTTCTAATAACTGTTTTGCAGCCCGAAGGGTACAGAGACTGCTCGATAATTTCTCCCGCTGCTTCCCTTTCAGATGCATATGTGACGTGTCAGTTGAATTATTTCACATCCGACTTCATGCCATAGTTCAATATCCATTCTTATTTGTAAGCACTACAAACAGGATGCAACATCACTACACATTCGTATACACTGGAATCTAAACTCCCAGTTCCTGAACACCAATACTGTAGGCGCACATGCTGAACACTGAACAGTGACTGTCCCAATTGCCCAGGCCAGCACCCGTTCAACTATGACATCATGAACATAAAGGCTACCGATACGAAAATGAATGGTAAGAAGTCTGAACTCTTTCAGGCCTGTACCGTGTGAACTACGACCTGAGGAACTGGAAGCTCATATCTGAGTTCCTGAACAGCAACAAATACACGGACATCTCGGTGCTGAACCGTGCGTTACTTCTGGACGACGCGATGAACCTCGCTCGGGTTGGCCTACTGCCATATGAGGTAGCCCTGAATGTGAGCAGTTACCTGCATCACGAGACCCACTACCTGCCCTGGAAGGCTGCCCTCCATAACCTGGACTATATAGCACGCATGCTTCGTCTCACTGACGGAATCACCGGCTACAGGGTGAGTTAGAGCAGACATGTTATTGTCAGATGTGTACATGCAGCTTCTGCATAAGCTCAGACGGCAAACGGCTAGAAGAACTTCAGATTCTGGATTCCATATAGACTTGTAGGTAGATACTAACGATTTGGAGGCAGTGCTACCTCATTCTCAGGGTCGAAGCGAATGGCGACGGCGCGGTTCAATTATATATATGAGCTGTAAGGAATATGGTAAGTCAGATCCGCGGGAGGAAGAATCCTAGAACACTACAGCCTGAGTAATCACTGCAGTGAAAACCTCAGAATTTGTACAAGAGAAATATTACACAGGTCTGACTCCATAAGCACAGTTATTCTTCAGAAGTTGATAGTCGCTCATCTGGACAAGAAATACCCCGTCCCTTGGGGAACCCGACGGTTCACTATTGTCAACAAGAGTTCAAAACTCTTGTTCAGGACAGGGTAGAGTGTTGAACTCTTGTTCACAATAGTGAACCAAATTAATCCAGCCCCCAAGAATCACTTTAATATTGTGACGAATATGATCATTTGGTAGGCAACGGCTAGGTAAACACTGCCTAAAAACCCGAATAATAGCAGAAGCAAATATGAACATTTGCTAGGCAACGGCTAGGTAAACACTTGTTACCTCGGCAACGAATGTTAACAAAGGAATTCCCGTGACAACTACAACAACAGAAGACGATTAAATGTTCTACGCGGGCAGCGTTAAAATTATAAAAGGCAGTGTTTTCGTGAATTCAAGGAGTAGTAGGAGAGACCAGTCCGAGATTCAGACAGCAGTGACAGATTCCTCGTAGGGATTCGTCAGACAGACGTCACGCAGAAAGAGTTCCATAGCGAGCTGCTATAATCAACTGTAATTGTAAAGAAGTGCAATAAACCCAATCATCAAATCCGAACCCATTACTATTCGTCACGCTAAAACCTTATATGTGACAAAATTATCCTTCCCTCTACGACTAAGTCTCCCACTTGGTCTCTTTCCTTCACAACTTCCCACTAAAATTCTGTGTGTATTTCTCATTTCCCCTATGTGCGCTACATACCTTGGTCACGTCATTCTTCTTCATTTGATGAGCCAAACACGAGTATTATGGTGACAAGTAAAAGTTTTTCAGATCCTCATTATGCAAATTTCTCAATCTTGTGCTCACTTCCACTCACTTAAGTCAAATATTCTTCTAAAAGAAAATTTCAATTTATTTTGTACCGCACTAAGGTAGGTGTCGGGATAGCGTAGTCGGTATGGCGACTGGCTACAGGCTGGACGACCAAGGGGTCCTGGTAGGGTCAAGAATTTTCTCTTATCCACGGTGTTCAGACCGGCTCTGGGTCCCACCTGGCCTCCTTTCCAATTGGTACCGGGGGCTCTTTCCCCCGGTGATAAGCGGCGGGAGTGTGAAGCTGACCACTCACCTCCAACTAGAGCCGAGATCAAGCAAATGTTGGTGTATACATCCACTCCCTCATTCGCCTTCATGGCGTAGTGCTTAATGAGTTAAGTACGGGGACAACTTTACCTTTTTTAATTTTTTATTGCTAGTGGGGTGGGACTAAGTCCCTTGTACTGCGGCCACATCTGGCCTATTGTAGTACCAGCCCCAGATGATAGGTGAGGGTGATTGTGGAGCAATTGGTGGAATGAAGATTGGCAGGGGAAACCGAAGTACTCGGAGAAAACCTGCCCCAGCGCCACTTTGTCAACCACAAATCCCACTTGACCAGACCCCGGGATCGAACCCGGGCCGCCGCGGTGGAAAGCCAGCGACTAACCGCTTGAGCTACGGCGCGGCCTTTCAACTTTACATTGCCTTATCTTATAGCAGTGAGGCAAGTGACGTCCTAGTTTTATGTACTGGCACCCTCTCAGCTTAGCAGAGACTTCATCGAGCCTCTTTTCTTAATTATTTTTCTGTACATTAAGAACAACTGTTGGGTGTTTCTATATTCTAGAATCAATAAATTGTATATATTTGCCAATTAATAACATTTCGCAATATTTTACAGAGGCTTGATTTTAAACGCTCGATCTCTGACATTTTGACAACTACAATCTATCCAATTTTAATGCATAACTTTCTCAGAACAACCCATGCCCTCCAACCAACTAGTCATGACTACCACACTAGAAAACCATTGCACGGTAGCGTAGTTGGTTGAGGCACTATGCTACAAGCCGGAAGGTCGCGAGTTCATGTCCCGATGAGGTCATTGGATTTTCTTCAATTGACCTAATCCTTCCAGACGCACTGAGGTCCTGGGGTCGACTCAGCCTCTAACAGAAATGAGTACCAGGAATATTCTTGGGGGTAAAGGGCGGCCGGCGCGTAGGGCTGACAACCTTGCCGCCATCTATGAGCCGATTGTCTAGAAAATTTTGGAACCTCAACATCTCACAACCCTATGGGCCTCCACGGCCTGTTACAGGGATAGCTTCACTTTACTTACTTACTTTACATTGACAACTTTACCTTAAACTTCTACTTTCTGCCATATTCCTTTCCGGTCCTAACCGTTATCAATAGATTGACAGAGACAAATATTTAAACATTATCTTCTATGAATAACACGCAAAAATAATCGCAAACCGTCTCCTTTATATACCATACCACACTTTGCATACCCACAAAAAAACATCAATATTCACAGAACAGACTGGATACACTGAAACAAAAGATTGCCCGCTCGCTCGCCGTGATCTACTGCAGAATTTACGTTCTTGCAACCTGCTAACGCTCAACAGTTCATTGCTATGGTAACCAAAAATTTCGTAATGTCAATAATAAGTTTCCTTTTTCAATGGTTCTTTCAGCCCATTCAGGGCCCACGCCTCTTATTCAGTTCCGTAATCATTTTTCCACAGTCGGTAGGACTCCTTGGACGCGGGATCAGCCCGTCGCAAGGCCGCTACCTACACATAGGACAACACAAACACAGAATGAAAGCATACACACACCAAACATCCGTGCCTCGAGTGGGATTCGAACCCACGGTCCCAGCGTCCGAGCGAGCGAAGACAGTTCACGCCTTAGACCGCGCAGCTACTGTGACCTGCCAGAAATAGGCTTTATGCTAACAAAATTATATATATATATATATGTGTGTGTGTGTGTGTAAAAGAATCTGTTGTTTCGAATGCCTGCCTGCCATAATATTCGTCCCATCTACTTTAAAGCACATATCATACACAAATCGCGAGACCTGTTTCCCTACTGGCCCTTCAGGAACTGTTCCGTGTTGCAGCGCTTCATCCTGTACCTGGTGCAGCCACAGTTCCGAGAACTGGGCTTCGAACCCAACCAGAATGACAGTTATCTAAGAAGTCTGCAACGGAAGGAGATGGTACGATGGGCGTGTCTAACCGGTGACCACGTTTGTGTGCAGAAGGCAACAACGCTGTTCAAGAGCTGGATGGACGGCAAGTTAAATCCGTGAGTTCCTCATGCGGAGTTCTCGCCAAACAATTCTGCTGCGAACTCAGAAGACGCCGTATGTCTACGCGTTGAGCAATGTTCCCTGTAACCTGTGCGCGTGCGCGGCCGCGCAACGGCTGTCGCACTCCCAAACACGAGTCTCTGTCCCCCGCCCATTGTCAACGACTGCGCAGTATTTTCTGTTACCTTAGTATGAACGTCTCAGTGTATTAGTAAAGTGTGACCTTTAATTTAATATCCGTTATGCGCCTTTTTTTTAAAAAAAACCGCTGCCCCCCGGGTTGCCAAGCCGACCCAGTTGCCGCTCTGAATACATCATGGCTTGCGCACTTGCATCCACGACTTCGATGCTATCCCTGCATTGTATCAGTACTGTTAAGTAAAAAAAAAAAAAAAAAAAAAAAAAAAAAATACCCCCNAAGGACCTCATCGGGACTTGAACCCGCGACCTTCCGGCTTGTAGCATAGCCCCTCAACCAACTTGTTACTTTCACTATACTGTAGGCCTATACTTTTACTCTCTGAAACGTTTGTGAAGGTAACAGCAACGTAAATCACAGGAAAAGATGTTCAGCAATTTCACTGTGCAACATTATCGCAACCTTCCTCCTACTGCTGCATAAAGGTAGCTAGGCCATTTGAGGTTCATTTGTTCCAGCGTGCCAAGCAAACGAGACACGTGAGAATTACTGTCGTCTGGGACATAACATCGTATAGTCTTCATGGTTCTACCCTACTGACAGAGAAAGTTCCTTCGAAACATCGGTAACGATCTATCAGATTACACGGCGTCATATCACACAAGACAGCAATCTTCGTAGTCAACAGCTGTGAGAACTGAAAATCTCTCAAACTAATTCATTTTCGTACCAACTAGACTCTGAAACGGAGGTTGAATTAATCTGTCATACATTTACTGCAGTGTCAGATGAGGGAGCAAAGTCTGTCTGTCACGCAGGGTGCCCCGTAGCCTGAGATCTGCAGTCTACTGCACGGCCATCGCGCGAGGCGGGCCTGCGCATTGGCAGTTTCTGTGGAAGCAATACAAGATGGCCACCATCGTGTCCGAGAGGAACAGCGCCCTGAAGGCCCTGGGTTGCACTGAAGACACTGGCATACTCAAACAGTACGTTACCCTTCCACGCAATTTACAACATAACAAATTATTTTAAAGAAGCTCAGCTCATTTTGATTCGTAACACATAAGGAAATGTTTTGGTTTGGTTTGAATGCTGGAGCTCCTGAGGCAGCGCTCCAACTTTCAGCACTTTTATGTTGTCTTGCTCGAGTAATGGGATGGCATTTTTAAATGGAGACAAACAACTTTTCAGCTGATATATAAAACAAGAATATTAGATGAGTTCTATCTTCTGGGATTTATGTAATGTAGTCCTGTGAAAGTCAACAACTTCTGAGAAACATGTCGCCTTCATCTTCAGAATCGAAGAGTAAGCGAAAAAGAAACAAGCATGTAGTATGCATCCGGCTGGTTTCTTGCATAGCTTACTCTTCGACCCTGAAAATGGAGTAGATATGTTCCTCCGAAACGTCGGTTGGCTTTCTTCGAACTACACGATGTTAATTCCAGAGGATAGAACTTTTCGTAACCACCGCTCAAAGTACATAAGAATACTTCCTTACACCTAACGAAAGACAAGCTCTTAATGAGAATGCAAGCGTCAAAATGTAAAAACCCCATAGAAATACTTTAAAAAAAAAAACTCTTTCAACCAAGCGAATTTGATTCTACAGTCCCAGGGTAAAGCATTAGATTCTGTCGGACTATTCTCTATTTTAAACACTAAGTCACTGGTATTCCGCCGATCACGGTGGCCATGCGGTCTACGGCATGAACTGTCTTCGCTCGCTAGAATGCTGGGATCGTGCGTTCGAATCCCACTCAAGGCATGGACGTTTGTGTGCGTGTATTCTGTATTTGTGTTAGGTAGCGGCCTTGCTATGGGCTGATCCCCCGTCCAGTGAGTCCTACCGACTGTGTCGGTTTCAAAAAATTTGTCAGTGTGAAAATAACGTGTATACGTGATTCTTATTCACTGCGGCTAGAGTCTGGTTCTTACAACCCGGTTTTGTTCAAGTACTTTAATGAACGCATCATGAACCACAGATCTACTTAACATTCGTTCATGTTGGTCCCGAAGCGCTGAAAGCTTAAGCTTCGAGAAGGACTACCTAAGTACCAAAACAACAAGAAACAAAAAAAAAACTCCTTTGCCTGTAGTCCGCAAGCGATCTATGCCGACAGAGCGACCGCCACTTGTCGAGGAAATCAGTGCCAACTTTAGCGGATAGAGGGTGTCGCGTGGGCAGCGCAACGGATCCCCACGTCCGTTAAACTTGGTTTTGTAGACCGGAGCCGCTATTTCCTTGAAGTGGCTCCTCAATTATCCTCACGACGCTGAGTGGACCTCGTTTCAGACCCATTGCTTCTCAGAAAATCTGGTAGAGCCGGAAATCGAATTCGGGACCTCTGGATCTGTAGCCAGGAACTCTGACCACTAGACCACAAAGGTGGTCTCCCCCGATTAAATAGTGTCTTGAAATAGTCCATGACACGTTCCTTTCAAATCCTTTCCAATATGTTACTCATTCATCATCCTATAATTCAACGTTATGTAATCTCAGCTGTTGAATGTGTCTGAAAATGACAAATATACGTAAAAACATAACTACAGCCTTAGAAGTATTAGAGTACCTACATTTCCGATGGATTGAGACTATATTAAACGCGCGAGTACAATTATTCATTCTTGTTGATTCTCCGTGTCCTCTATCCACGTGATCGCCTTGTCACTTTTCTGCCGAAAATTTCTCTGTTGTAGGTACCTGCAACGGTCAGTGCAGATGGGGTCCGGTGTGAAGTCTGCAGACAGCGTCGCCGTGTTCAAAGCTGTCGCTTCAACTGACACCGGCTTCAATATCGCCAAAGAATTCTTTATCAACAACGCTGAAATTATCGAAAAGGCGTATGTTGTGATTCCACGACGGCTGAGACAATTCAGTCTCCTCCTACCTAGAAGTTGCCTTATTCTTATTATTTTTATTATTATTATTATTATTATTATTATTATTATTATTACTCTTAGTGGGGTGAGACTGAGTCCACCTGGTAATTATGGAGCAACTGGTGGAATGAAGATTGGCAGGGGAATCGAAAGTACTCGGAGAAAACCTGTTCCAGCGCCACTTTGTCCACCATAAATCCCACATGACTAGACCCGGGCTCGAACCCGGGTGGTCGCGGTGGGAAACCGGCGACTAACCGCNTTTTGTAGACCGGAGCCGCTATTTCCTTGAAGTGGCTCCTCAATTATCCTCACGACGCTGAGTGGACCTCGTTTCAGACCCATTGCTTCTCAGAAAATCTGGTAGAGCCGGAAATCGAATTCGGGACCTCTGGATCTGTAGCCAGGAACTCTGACCACTAGACCACAAAGGTGGTCTCCCCCGATTAAATAGTGTCTTGAAATAGTCCATGACACGTTCCTTTCAAATCCTTTCCAATATGTTACTCATTCATCATCCTATAATTCAACGTTATGTAATCTCAGCTGTTGAATGTGTCTGAAAATGACAAATATACGTAAAAACATAACTACAGCCTTAGAAGTATTAGAGTACCTACATTTCCGATGGATTGAGACTATATTAAACGCGCGAGTACAATTATTCATTCTTGTTGATTCTCCGTGTCCTCTATCCACGTGATCGCCTTGTCACTTTTCTGCCGAAAATTTCTCTGTTGTAGGTACCTGCAACGGTCAGTGCAGATGGGGTCCGGTGTGAAGTCTGCAGACAGCGTCGCCGTGTTCAAAGCTGTCGCTTCAACTGACACCGGCTTCAATATCGCCAAAGAATTCTTTATCAACAACGCTGAAATTATCGAAAAGGCGTATGTTGTGATTCCACGACGGCTGAGACAATTCAGTCTCCTCCTACCTAGAAGTTGCCTTATTCTTATTATTTTTATTATTATTATTATTATTATTATTATTATTATTACTCTTAGTGGGGTGAGACTGAGTCCACCTGGTAATTATGGAGCAACTGGTGGAATGAAGATTGGCAGGGGAATCGAAAGTACTCGGAGAAAACCTGTTCCAGCGCCACTTTGTCCACCATAAATCCCACATGACTAGACCTGGGCTCGAACCCGGGTGGTCGCGGTGGGAAACCGGCGACTAACCGCCTGAGATATGGCGCGGCCTATTAGAAGTTGCTTTAGCTAGTATCGGAAAGATACGTATTAATAAAATAGGGATTCTGTACGTGTGGACAATGGGCTGAATAGAGGAATAAAAACTGTGCATCAGTCCTGCTTTGTATTCAGGAGATTCCGGGTTCAAATCTTGGCCAAGACGTGCTATCCAGATCAAGGGCGGCACCAGAATACTTTCCAAGGGAACGGGGGAAGAGGGGACAACAAGTGCCAGCATTTTTTCCTGGGAGGTTTCAACAGTAGAGTTTGCTTACAACCATATTTAAGATCTTTAAGAATACTTTCATAGAACGACTTAGAGCTATAGGTCTCTGTACTCAAATACAGATGACGCCATAAAGTGTGTGAAAGATCATTTCGTATTAATATTTTGTAGACCTATATCTTTCTCTCTTTTTTTTTTTAAATCAGATTGATTCTAAAAATGCAGTGTGACATGCCTGGCTTGTCCCTTCTCCTTTGCCGGCGCCCATGATCTTGATTAGAATTTTCCGTGATATTACTTACAGTAAAATGCCCGGTTAAGAGGCTGCGACAGCTTTCTCCCATATCAAAAAAATCAACTCCGTGGCTTGTAGTCCGCAAGCGAACTATATCGACCGAACGACCGCCGCTTGTCGGCGAAGTTAGTGCCAACTTTAGTGGATAGAACGTGTCGCGTGGTCAGCGCAACGGATCCCCCGGTCGTTAATCTCGGTTTTCTAGACCGGAGCCGCTATTTCCTTGAAGTGGTTCCTCAATTATCTTCACGAGGCTGAGTGGGCCCCGTTCCAGACCCACTACTTCTTAGGAAATCTGGTAGCGCCGGGAATCGAACCCGGGACCTCTGGATCTGTAGCCAGGAACTCTGACTACTAGACCACAGAGGCGGTCCTTTCTGCCATATAATCTTAAGTTAATTATTAGCTAATTATCGGACCACTTGACGCTATTTAATCTGCTGACAGCATTTCTAAGTAAACCACGAATAAATTCATGAACAGCACTATCTTCTAGGATGCAACACAGTACAGTCTGGCAATTCATTGATATTTCGGAGGAACGCCGTCACCACCGTGGAACATGAAATCTAACAAATAAATTCATATTTTTTTTTCGGTTGTCTGGTTTAAATTTTGCAAATTTGTCAACGTTTAAATTCGTTTACTCCAGAATGCACACACACACAAACACACAGACACATCTATTAGAGGGTCAGAGCTCGAAAGTTCGAAGTCTGACATCCGGGGATGGGCTGCGACAATTGCAGCCTCGGTATCTGCTCCCGAGTTGTCTGAATACCAAGTTTACTGAACAGTCGGCTGTCCGATAACAAGTAGTGCACTTGCTCTTTCTGTATTTCAGCGTCGGCCCGGTCCACTTGGAGCAGATACTGGAGATCATTGCGTCTAGAATGAACCAGCCTAGACACCTGAAGCAGGTGAGACAGCCATGAAGCTATGGTGCTTATGATTTTGGAGTCAACAGGATATCTGCTTTTCTTCTTCATCGGTTTGTTTTAAATGTTAAGGTGTTACTCTTCTAGGAGGGAAACGCGGTAGCGTAGTTGGTTGAGGCACTATGCCACAAGCCGGAAGGTCGCGGGTTCAAATCCTGATGAGGTAATTTGTTTTCAATTGACCTAATTCTTCCAGCCGCACTATAGCCCTGGGGTCGACTCATCCTGTAACAGAAATGAGCACCAAGAATATTCTTGGGGGTAAAGGGCGGCCGGCGCATAGGGCTGACAACCTTGCCACCATCTATGAGCCGATTGTCTAGAAAATGTGGATACGTCAACATCTCACAACCCTATGGGCTTCCACGGCCTGTTACAGGGATAGCTTTACTTTACTTACTTTTTACTCTTCTAGCATTCCACAAGCGTCAATCACACAAGTCTCGTTCCTTTACATTCCTTCCGGCCATTAGCTGCGACCACCCTGCTCTTGTCTAACTCCTCCACTTCGCGACTAGTCCTCAATCCCGAACCGTGTACGTCAGTCTGTCTTCGGGCAGATAACAGGGGAATTGGCACAAAAATATTAGGGCCTGTGACGACATCCGACTTTCACCACGAAATGATTACAAAAAAATACTTCAGAGGGGTCCTTCTTCAAGACAACACTGGCAATCAGAAACTTGCCGACAAGTCCTACACAACTGGCGCACTGCAGTCCCGAGCAAGTGATTATTTTCATGGCCCCGAACTCTGCATTATGAAAACGTATATAGGTCTTCACGACTTCAGAGGACTTGGTTACGTTGTAGCTTCCAAAGACAGTGACTCATCAGGAGGCAAAGCCAAACTGCCGAATGTGTATGCTCTGTGGAGTCAAGATCCCTTGGCTATGTTTCGGACTCTGGACCTAGACCTGTATATAGGGCAGCAGGAAGAGTTTGTGAGAACACAATTTGAAAGACCAACCGCAAACTTGGGAGAGCATGGGTATAGAACTCTGTTACTGAAACAGAAGTTTTACGAACGTACTGGGCCTTGATACATACGACTAGATGAGATGAGAAACAAGTGCTGGAAAATCCAAGAAAGCGAATGATAGGCGAATGTGGAGATGATTTGGCGGCTCTCAACGTGCAAAATGTGGTGGTGAGTAGAAGCAAGTTATTATTAAAGAAATTGTATGATGTGCAGGAAATGGCAAAACTTGAGAGAAAAGAAAACTTACGAGCCCATTTGCCTCTTTCAGTCAAATCGCAGACCAACCTACCTCGACGGGTTCAACCCACGAACTTTACCCCTTGGCATACGTACTTCAGCGGCTGCGGGCCGTCTGCCGTTTTGCTGGCAGGGTACAATTTGACCGCCATGTCTCATGCCTGTCATGAAAGTCGAGTTTACTTAGTGACAATCGCTGTAGTGTATTCAACGTGATATTTAATGTAAGATTTTATATTCTTATTTTGAAATCTGAAACTTCGGTTTGTATATGCGCTTTCAGTATACTTAATCAAGTAAAATTATTGTGCCAATAGCGAAACTTTTTATACAATTTTTACAAACATATTCTGACCGTCTGCCCATCCAGCCACATAACTGTATCTGTATTTTACGATCACTAACAGTATGCTCACAAGTGGATGTACTCTTTACACGGCCCTGCAGAAACGGGAGATCACACACGTGACAAAAAAAAAATGCTGACCGAGTTCACAGTGTAAGTCCCCTCCACAGCCAAAACTTGAACGTACTTCATAAGTTAAAACAGTCATGAAAACGTGGGATGTAACTATTTTCTTAATATGAAAATCCCTCAGTAAAGCAGATAAAATGAAGCACGTACGTATCCATGTAATCAGAGGCAGTAATTACTGGTGCCAATTGCATAACGCAACGCTTGACTGAAGCGGACAACACTAACGTGGTCTTCTTAGAATCTGTAACCAAATTTGCTTCCTTTGCAGTTGGAGGAATTCCAGAAGCAGAATGCACAGAAACTGCGGCACTTCACGCGCACACTGACACAGGTGACTGAGAGCGTCAGGTACAACATTCTCTGGTTGGAGCACAATTATGAGGGGATTCACACATGGCTACAGGCCAGAGAGCAGCTCCACTGCACGGGTAACGCAGACAGCTAGACGGGCACTGAGAAAGGAATGGATATATCCAGAGGCTTTAGGCATAACTACCAGGGCAGTACTACAGGAGTAGCCATAGGTGTGAGCGGGGATGGGGGTCCAAACCCCTGCCAAGTTAAAAAAAATAGAAAATAAGGAAGTATACCGAATATTGATAATAAAAATTTATAAGGATGTATTCCACACTAAATACTCCAGAGCGATCAGTAAAAATATATTAAAACGTAAGTCTGTAAGCAAATTTAGAATGTTATCACACTCTGTTTGATGGTTAAGTTATGACAGCAAAAAAGATTGTTTAATAACACTTGAAGAAAAATGCACTGGGTACCAAATAAATTTGATCGTTTCTCTATAACTTTTGAAAACATTTTTCATTCCAATAAATATCTAGCTACTTAGGCTGGAAATATGCACAGAAACACAGAGGTCTTCCTGTAAAGTATCAGTTATATTTGCCCTTTTTTAAACAAAACTGAAACTGCTCAACCACACTTGGTGAAACTTTCTGCAATTATTTAAGTGCTGCTGCTAGGCCACACACAAATAGACATTACCTCCACATAAGGTGTCCTTTTCTCTTTGTAAAGAACATCAAATAATCCTATACCACAACTAAATACCTTAAAACCAAACTAATGTGTATTGAAACACAATTCCATAAAATACAAGTTCATTATATTTAATACATCAAATTATAATTGAAACATGATTTCAATAGTCACTACACTACATAACTGATATTTATTATTGGGGAACACTCTGGCCAACTGTCAGTGTAATACTTGTTGCAAAGTCAATCTGATAATGTAAACTTGTCCAATTTAGTACTGTAATTTTTTCAAATATAACCTAAAGCATTATACATACTGTGTCAGTTACAAATTAGTTCTTTCCAATGTTCAAAAGCCACAAAACTTTTGGTTATGTCTGAGCTTGCCTTTCATCTGTTAGACACTTCATTCTAACAAACCCATGAAGCCCATGGAGCAAAGTCCTTGAATAGTTATTAGATGCTGAACCACCTTTCATGAAATCCAAAATTACCATGTTCAAGAGTCCATTACGTCCCTATCCTAAGCAAGATCAATCAAGGCCAAAATATTAGACCCTGTTTCTTTTTGTTCTATTTCAATGTTATCTACTCCCAGGTCTTTCAAGTGGACACTTCCCTTCTGGGTTTCTAAAATTTTGTATCTCTCATCTTTCCCATGCATAACACAGGGAGGTTCTTATCTTTGTTGACTTGTTGACAGCTCTGTGCTTCACGGCAACCAGCGCACCACCAGCTGTGAGACGCATATAAATTTTGTCAATATATCAGTATGCCTGACGGTCAATGACCTTTGGAATGAATGGAAATAATTAATTTTGTGAGCGGCTTGACAGCATTGTCTCATGGCAAGCATTGTGGTTCACATGTGGAAATTTTTGTATGATTTGTCAGCAATGGGTAGCAACTGTCAGCTCCATCAGCAATTTGTCCTCAGTTACAATAAGTGAGCAGCATATTCTGTCAAGGTGCGGTATACATTAAAGTAGCGTGTATTTCTATATGAAACCTATGTGAAATACGGATGTTAGGAAGTCTCAGCAAACATTTTGATATAAATTTTGTGATGAAAGCATTCCAAGCACACAAAAAAATTCAAAATTTGATAAAT